CAGGAAGGCTCTGAAGAAGGGTCCAGGCCCGAAACGTCAGCCTTCCTGCTCCTCTGATGCTGCTTGGCCTGCTGTGTTCATCCAGCTCTACACCTTGTTATCTCAGATTCTCCAGCATCTGCAGTTCCTACTATCTACTGGAAGGCTGTTGCGGTGCAGTGATAGTGTCCCTACCTCTAAGGTGGAAGACTTGTACTCAAGTCTCACCTCTTCCAGAGGAGGATAACAACATCTCTGGATAGTTTGATTAAAAATATCTAAAATAAATGTAGATACTGATGGAGAGAGCGACTTTGCAAAATAAAGCAAACGTGTGATTTAAAAATCGCTCTGCAGACAGAATAAACGGCGATATTTAACACATTCGTTCAAAGCACACATGCTTATTAAGAACCCCCATCGCATATCCGAAAAAAAAACACTTTAGCTACTGGCTCAATGAATATACGATATATATTCCTTTGGTTATGCGAGTTACACTGTTGCAATAAATGGGTTGGAGGGGAAATAGGGACTGGCTAGACATTAGGGAAGTTTAACCAGGGAATCATTTACAGCTCCAAGACAGTGTGAGATGTCTTGGGGAGGTGGTCTATAAGAAAGAGACCTTGCGAGCTCCACTCACCCAGTCAGCGGTAGCAGTTGACGGCGTTTCCAGCAAATGCTCGCCCGGCTCCAGCGGCAGAAAGGAAGCATCCGCTAAATCCTCGGCTGAACCGACGCTGCTGCTCTGCGGCCTCAGCTCCCGTTTCACCTCGGAGCGCAGATCCAAGTAACAGAGCAGCGTGACCAGGTGCAGGCACAACGACAGGGCGAAGAACCCCAGGAACATCCCGCAGTTAGTACACTGCTTCCTGCAGTTGTTGCAGGCGGAGGGCAGCTCTTTCTCGTAGTTTGATAACTTGCCCTCGAAACTTTTCGATGACATCTTTTCCTGGTGGGGATCAATCCAGATCTTAAAAGCAGTGCTCTCTTTCCTCACTGAACCATATTCAATCGTCCATTTCTTAGCCAAAGCCCAACGCAGAGAAAAAAGACATCCAGTCAGTTGATTCTAACCAGCAGCAGCTTCCTGCACTGAAGAGGGTCTGGTGTAAATACTTTCTGAGACAGTGAAACCAAGGTTTTACATTCTACCTGCCAATCAAACCTGTAAGTCCCACCTCAAGGAGACGAGCTTCTCTTCAATTGGTCCACTGCTACGCCCATCATTGAGCATCGGGCAGAATTCGATACAAAAAGCGCAGAAAATGTTGCAAATCTCTGACCAACATCTGCGGAGAAGTTCGAGTCAGCCGAGGGAAAGTCCTGTTCGACCAGAATATTTCTGCTTTCTCTGCGTCCGCTCTGTTTAGCTTCTCTTCTTGCGATGAACCCAATAAAACATTTTTCAAAGAACGGTCTCGTTTCCCCTGACTGTTTCTCACAGCGAGAATGGGAACGGCTCGAAGCAAATTGATTATTATTTACCCCTGTCATCATTTGGATTCCCCCTCCCCCACCTTTGCAGAACAAATTTAAAATTAAATTTCAGAACAAATAAAGTCCCACCCCACCCGCAGAAATACGAGATTATAAATTGTCACCCCACCATCAAAAGTGCAGTTGCGTGACGGTATTTGTGATGGAAATCTGCACGTTTTATTTTCACTTCTTGTTTCCACCTCGCCGAGTTCCTTTAAATTTTACTCTGCATAGTATGACCAAACTGTCCAGGATTCAAACTTTCAGACTAAACTTGGGTTAGTCCCTTAAATGACACTGCCTCACAGTTACAGAAACTTCTTCTCCTTAGAGTCCTGTATTTTACAAAGTAAGTTCAATTATTATTTCCTAAATTATGTTTTAACAAAATAGCATCTTCTCATTCTTTCCTACCAAGTTTTAGGCTTTACATTGGAAAATACAGAGAAAGATGTTTAAACGATAAAAGAAACAACAACCCAGAGTTGGGAGAGATAGTAGGAACTGCAGATGCTAGAAAATCTGAGATAACAAGGTGTACAGCTGGATGAACACAGCAGGCCAAGCAGCATCAGAGGAGCAGGAAGGCTGACGTTTCGAGCCTAGACCCTCTGATGATGGGTCTAGGCCCGAACCGTCAGCCTTCCTTCTCCTCTGATGCTGCTTGGCCTGCTGTGTTCATCCAGCTCTACACCTTGTTATCTAACAACCCGGAGTTTCCTTCTCCCTCATGTGTGATTGCTAGCACTCTCAGCTTCTGGAAGAAGCCTTTGAAAGTTGTACTTTTTGGACAGCAGCAAGACATTTCTCTTGGTATCTGGAGCGTAGCTCCTGTCATAAGCTTGGGGATTGAGGTACTACGACTAGATTCAAACAAACTGATCGAAGCTGACATGTGTTACTCTATTGAAGTTGCTGACTTTTAGGTGAAACCACTATCGAGGCCTCATCTCCCTCATAAAAGATCCCGTGACGCTATTTCACTGTTTCCAAAAGCAGCAAGGGTATTATACCTGGTGAACTGGCCAACTATTACTCCTGCTAAGAAAAGCAAATTATCTGCCCATGAACATATGGCTGCTGCACTTTCTGCATTACAACCATAAGGCCAAAGAAGACATGGGAACAGAAGTAGGCCATTCAGCCCATGAAGTGCTCCCTCGTCCAATGACAGCATGGCTGATCTGATCGTCCTCAACTCCCCTTTCCTGCCTTTACTTCACAACTCTTGATTCCCTCACTGATTAAAAAAAATCTATTTCAGCCTTGAATATACTTCAGGACCCAGCCTCTCTGCAGTAAGTAATTCAACAGATTCTTAATCCTCTGGAGAAATTTCTTCCCATCTGTGGCATGAATGCGTGACCCCTTATTGTGAGATATGCCCTCTTGGCCTAGATTCTCCCGCAAAGAGAAAAATGTTTCTACGTCTGCCCTGTCAAGTCCTCTCTTGTATGTTTCAGTAAGACCACTTTTCATTCTTCAATATTTCAATACGTGCATACTAATCTACTTAACTTCTCCTCATATGACAAGGGGCCCAAAACTGTTATGTGGTCTGACTACTGCCTTGTATAGTTTTAGCAAAGCTTCCTTATTTTTATACTCTATTCCCTTTGAAGTAAAGGCAACATTCTTTTTGTCTTTCTTAGTACCTGCTGAACTTTGATGCTAATTTTTGCGATTAATGGACGAGGGTTCCCAAATCCCTCTGTTCTGTAGCTTTCTGTAGTCTTTCTCCATCAATTATTTGATTGACCGTAAAGTGTTTTGGAAAATCCTGAAGTCATAAAAGGTACTAAATTAGCAAGGGTTGTGTTCTGCTACCAACAGCCATAGAGTCATAGACAGGTACAGTACAGAAACAAACCCTTTGGTTCAACTCATCCATGCCAGCCAGATATCTTAAATTAATCTAGTCCCATTTGCCAACATTTGACCAATATCCCTCTAAACCCTTCTTCTTCACATGCCCATCCAGATGCCTTTTAAATGATATAATTGTACCAGCCTCCACCACTTCCTCTGGCAGTTCATTCCATATAGTTTTCTCTTTTCAGCAGTCATAACCTCAGGTCATTTACAGATGGTCTGTACTGATATATCAGATATGATGGAAAACCTCTCAGCCCAGCTCTCCTGAGATTCGAGACCAAGATGTGGCAAGTCCTCAGAGAATTGTTCTTACTGACTAGTGTTGCATGAATGTTGCATCCTGGGAAACATGTGCAACAGCCAATGGTGGAAATGGCAGAGAATGATCCTTTGAATGCAGAGACTAGTGCGATGGAAAGTAAGGAGAAGAAGAACCCTAGCGTTGTTCTGGGAAGGAGGGAAATGGATGAGGGCAGAACTGTGGGAGATGGGTTAGACATTGCTGGAGGTCCTGTCAACTCCAATGGGGTAATCCTCATTGAGGAAATAAGAGGTCATGCCAGAGGCAGTCCAGTGGAAGATGGCATTGTCAGAACAGATGGAATGGAGAAACTGGGAGAATAGAATAGATTCTTGCAGGAAGCAGGGTGTGAAGAGATCCACTCAAGTTAAGTGTGAGAGTCAGACTTTTAATGGATATTGGTAGACAGTCTATCCTCAGAAATGGAGATGACAGATGAACTGAACAGGTAGTTTGCATCAGTCTTTAGTATAGAGAATGCAAATAACATCCCGAAAGCAACTGAAAATCAGAAAATGGTAAGAAAAGAGGATCTCAAAAAAACTACAAACAGCAGGAGAGTGGCACTGAGCAAATATCTGGAACTGTGAGCCAACAAGTGCCTGGGTCCTCATTGACTTCATCCTGGAGTCTTAAAAGAATTGACAAGAGAGATAACTACTGCGCTGGTTTTAACTTTCCCCAAGTTCCTAGATTTGATGAAGGCCTCATTCAATTGGAAAGTGACATACCAAATGCTTTTATTCAAAGGGAAGGAGAATGAAAGCAGGGAACTACGGGCCCTATCACTTAATAATCTGATGTACGGAAAACATTAGAAGCTATTCTTAAAGATGTTATGGCAGGGCTCTTCGCAAAATTCAAGGTAATTGGGAAGAATGGTTTTGTAAAATTTTGAGTCATGCTTAGCCAATTTATTTGAACTTTTTGACTCAGCAACATCTATTAAGAAACTGATGGATGTATTGTACTTAGACTTCCGTAAGATATTTGGTATGTGCCACATCAAAGGTTAATAGGGAAAATAAAAGTTAATGGTATAAGGGTAACATATTCACATGGATAGAAGTTTGGGTAGCTAACAGGAAACAGAGTAGGCATAAATGGGTCTTTTTCTAGTTTGTAAAATATAATGTGTGTTTGCCACAAATGAGGCCTGAACTGTTTACAATTTATATTAATTTTTTTGATGAAAGGACCAAAGGTGTGGTTTGCTGATGACACAAGGGATAGGTAAGAAAGTAAGTTGTGAAAAGAAGACTTCAAAGGGATATAGATAGGCTAAGTGAGTAGGAAAATATATGGCAAATGCAGTATAATATTGGGAAAATGTAGGTTATTTATTTTTCCAGGAAGAATAAAAAAAAAGCATTTCATCTAAGTGGCAAGAAGTTGCAGAGCTCGAAGGTGCAAAAAGGATCTAGGTGTCCTAGTGCATAAATCACAAACAGTTAGTATGCAGGAAAAATAAGTAATTACAAAAGCTAAAAATAAAACAAAAGAACTGCGGATGCTGGAAATCAGAAACAACAACAGAAATTACTGGAAAAATTCAGCAGGTCTGGCAGCATCTGTGGACAGAAAGTAGAGTTAATTTTTCAAGTCCAGGAAACTTCTTCAGAATGGGTCCTGTGTTCTGAAGAAGAGTCGCTAGACCTGAAACTTTAATTCTGTTTCCTCCCCACCGATGCTGCAAGACCTGCTGAGTTTTTCCAGTAATTTTTGTTGCTGTTTGTAATTAGGAAAGCTAATAGAATGTTGTTATTTATTCTGAAGGGAATTAAGTACAAAAGAAGGAAGGATATGGTTCAGTTATACAGGTCATTGGTAATAGCACATCTGGAGTGATGTGTATCGAATTGGCCTCCTTTCTTGAGGAAGGGTGCAGATGCATTGGAATCAGACCAGAGAAGATTGACTAGGTCACTACATACAATGGGTGGGTTGTCTTATGAGGAAAGATGGGACACGCAAGGTATGTGCCCACTAGAGTTTAGAAGAATAATAGATGAGTCGGTTGAAAGCTCATTCAAAATCCTGTTTTAATGAAACCTTCTGTGGCTTGCTTAACAATGCTTCTGCAAAACATTTTGGAATATTTTACACTGTTAAAGTTGTTAAATATATGTAAGTTCTTGCTGTTATTCTGCAGTAGTGCACTTACCCTGATGTCCCTTTTGCACAGAATAATAATTAATAGCATGTTATAAATGTGTATTTTTAGAATATTTCACAGAATTATTGTGGTGCTCAAGGAGGCCGTTCCACTCACTGTGACTGTCATAATGCACTATTCATTCTGTGTTTAAACAACAATGCCATTTTCACTTTAAAATCATAAGCATGGTAACTTTAATAATGTTTCCATTTAGAGTCATAAAGTCCGACAGCACGAAGACAGGCCCTTTGGCCCAAACTGGTCCATGCTGACCAAAATGTCCATCCACGCTAACCCCATTTCCCTGCACTTGACCCATATCCT